GCCGACCAAGGGATTGAAACTGGTGACGTTCTGGTCACAGGCACGGTATCCTAACCCAAAAACGTCTGACCATGTTTATTAAGTCATAGAAAGGTACTTGAGTTCTTTTACCGTTTTCAAAGCAGTGTATGGTAGTGAAACCTGAGAAGAGCGTGGCATGTGCATGGAGAAGAGTCCTGCTTTGTTACATCCTATAAGTGGATGATGCATATATGTTGGGTAGGAGGAGCATTAGGTAGATGTGGGTCTAGGCAAATACTCTTTGAGGAGTGAACTTTATCTTCACTGGTACCCTGTAGAAAGCCAGGTGCTTCATTAGGTAGCAGTGGTTCCTTCAGGGTGACCATCCTCCAGGACCTGCAGGCCTTTCTGCACATGTGTGGCTGACTTTCCAGTTCCTTCTTTCTGGTTGTAAGCTTTGCAGAGGGAGACTGGCCCACTCTCTCACTGGGGCAACTGGTTCCAGCTGTATTGTGTTTGCAGTGCTTGAGGAAACCGTGATTGCTGTCGACCTGCATGGCGCTGATCGCCCCCTGCTGTTGGATGGTAGATTCCCAGTTTGCCGTCATGTGACGCATAGTCCTCTGTGTTTGCCCTGATTTACAGTACAGCTAAAACCAATTGTGTGTCTCTCTGGAAAGACATGCAGCTGTCTTGTTGCTTGCTGTCCAAAGACAGTAGGTTAACCAGTGGGGGGGTTAAGTAAATAAGTGGCAATGGTATAGATCAGGGGTGTCAACCTGGGGGGCCGGAGCCCTGTGTAGCTTAGTTCTTTCCCCCTTCCACCACAAATCATTCGGCTCAAGAGCTGTGTGGTAATTAGCACAAGGAATTGAATCAGGTGTGTTAAATGAGGGGAAATCCAAAAATGTGCAGGGCTCCGGCCCCCCAGGACTGCAGTTTGACACCCCTGGTATAGATGAATGCAGAAAAGCTATAAATATATAAAAAACCCTTCTTGTGTTCTCTTCCCCTGTATAAATTGAAAGACTTAAAAAATGTCCGGATAATGAAAAAGTTTTTCAAAGAATTACATCGATATATGTTTTCATTAAAGTTATTGAGAAAACACAATAGAAGGAAAACTAGTCAGAGCACATCAGACCCTAATTTGGAACGAGATAAAGGTAACTACCAAATGAAAGGAAACACCAATGCAGGAAAAATGAGGAACAACTTCTATTTGCTTGACATACTTGCCTTGACATACTCTAGCCAGCGGGGCCTGCTGATGATGCTGATTTGGAAGTCCAGCAGAGGCCAGTTATATTATGGAGGCGCCCAAGGGCAGAAAATTCCAACCCGGGATGCTGAAATCCTGTACCTTAGATGTGTCTCTGATTTAGCAACGGCGCATGGAACTTAAGCACTTCCCGTCTACAAGGGATCCCATCATTTTGGTGCTGGGAAGTGGATAGAAATGCCGTGAGATGTGTCTCTGTAATCTGTTTGATTGTTCATACCTGGTGACTCAGACAGTCATAGGGTTACATAGCTCTTATTCATTTTGACCACTCATGTGCTTGGCAAGAGGGCACTATTATCATAGAGGATTACATCTCACAATGGAGATGATTCACCATATCATGAACACTGTCAGTCACAATAGGCTTGTATCCATTGGCATTTACCTTGTTTCTTAAGGGAATGAGTGAATGCAAAGCAGGCCAACACAAGATACAATAGTACAGCTTCCAGAACCAAATACAAAAAAAATCTATTGAGTCTGTCAGTTTTATTTGACACGCCAGATATACTGACCGACCTGAGAGCAGAGTTAAGGGTGGCTAATGTGACAGCATAATTTTGCTTCCATTACAGAGGACAGATGGCATTATTTTTACCACTTTCCTGGTTTACACACAGTAACCTGACCATCGTATGCTTTTCTCTGAATTCCCCGTTGGACTGGACTCAGTAAAATGACCAGCTCCAGTCTTACATCATTTGCAGCGGATTGGTTCAGAGATTCTCATCAGCTTTGCCTTGTAAGCTGAAATAACAAATTAGCATGTTTGTCCATGCACTTTTGTAAATGAATGCCACTAGCAGCCTAAGCGGTCACTGTTACTGAGGTATACCCCCCCCCCCGAACTAATTCCTCTCCCTAAATCCCCAATTAAGATCTCTTCCTCTATCCATAGCATGCATTACTGTAAAATAATGACCGACCAGGGCCACCCTAGATTATTTATAATAACCTTCAGGCCAACGGCTGATTACTTATTACAGGAATGAAACTAAGCAGAAACACCTGTTGTATACCAACACTACAGCACTCCTTTACTCAAGCGTTTCCTTTTTTGCCTTTTTTTATTTTTGGCTGAACCCGAAGAACATGTCAGCTGATGTTTCTGGGTGTTTTCTCTTCTGTGCCCAACAAAGTTTTTACATTACGGAGACTTTGGCCTTCGTAGCGGCACATTTCGCCTGAAGTGACATCTCTGTTGAAAACCATGGCCGCATTTTGGTCAGTCTCAAACGGGTAATTACATTGTTTTTCCAGCACCAAAGATCCACAGCCACACTGGTTTATGGTACCAGACAGGCCTGCTTTTAAAATAGCAAGTGCTGCATGAATAAAACTTCAGCAGATAACGGTCTCTAAACGCCGATTATTTAAGTAATATCCTCCTGAGACCCCACCCATTCATTTATGTCCATTGTACTGGACATTTTGTTTTTGCATCTATCTTTTCACTGATGTAAGGAAACGTATTTATTCCTGTTGTACACTAAAGAGGACATCCTGGGCTTTCCAATGACACCACATGACCACATGTGGGGGTGGGGTTTTTAAAACTCATTATTTTTTTCTGACAAAATGGCTGCCATATCAACAAGCAGATTTTATGGAAGGGGAAAGAGTAAGTTTTAAAAGATGTACCTGTTGTCTTTTTTATTGTAATTTTTGTATATTTCATTGTTCAAGAAAGTGTCAGGTATCGTTTGGTAAGGTATGAAAGCAGTTTCATTATTTTGGTGTTGAATTACCAAGCCATTTATTAATGTCCTCTGTAATGGACACTAGGATTATTTTGATGTCTTTCAAATTACCACTTTGTTGTAGGAGACAGAACAGAAGCAGAGCAAATTTTGTACAGAATAATTGAGGGAGATTCAGATGTAGATTTGTCAGATGAAGAAAAGGAAGAAGATGAGTTTGAACATACTGAGGAAGTAATACGAAGTTGTGAAGAAGGGACAGGCTCATCAGATGATGAGGATGAGGAGGAAAGTCGTTGTTCTTTGTGGGCCAGGACAAGCATGTATGTTATTGTACTGTGTTGCAGGATGAGTATAAAAAAGTTTATACTCTGTATAACTGATTAATTTATTACTGTAGATATTAATTGCAGGTCAGTATAAAATATATTTTATAGTAAATAATACAAATAACTAAATTTCATCATAGAAAGCTGGTGGGTGAAAAATGAATTCCGGTAAACACAAATTGCATTAATGTAATTTAGTAAAATTGCTCAATATTTTCCCATAACAGATTCACACCCGTGCTACCTAGCTCTCCTGAATACAGGAATGACCCTTCAACTCGTGCACACTGGAGTCCAATTCAATATTTTAACCAATACATTGACAACAAAATTTTTGATGATCTGGCAAGATTTACTAATCAAAGGGAGCTTCAGATCAAAGGAGTGTCTCTGAATACGACACCAGAAGAAATAAAGGTGTTCTTTGGCTTATCAGTCCACATGGCCTGTCTTGGCTATCCCAGAATTAAGATGTTTTGGGCCAATAAAACAAAAGTACCAATAATAAAAAATAAGAGAGATAAAATAAGAGATAGGTTCTTCAAACTGAGAAAATCTCTGAAAATTGTCAATGATTTAGATGTGAGTGAAGAAACAAAAAAGAAAGGCATCCTTTGGATGGTCAGGCCACTCCTTGGCAGAGTGAAGCAAGGCTGTTAGCCTTCCAAAACCAGCAAAACTCTCTATCGGTGAACAAATCATTCCATTCACAGGCCGCTATCCAGTTGGGCAGTTTGTTCCAGGCAAGCCAAACCCTACTGGCTTGAAGGTATTTGTTCTTGCTTCTCCTGATGGTCTGATGTTGGACTTTGATGTGATGAAGAGTATAGTCCACCAATGAAAGTGAGAATCCCACAACCAGAGACATCCTTGCCTAAATCTGGAGCTAGTGTATGCACACGCCTGAGATGGTGAACTGCAAGCATGCAGAAAGGTGTAGAAACAAGGGCTGCAAGAACAAAACCTACATGAGATGCACTAAATGTAAGATGTTCCTATGTATTGCAATACTGAGAAATTGCTTCCTGGATTATCATCGTTAAAATAAAAATTAATTTTGCCATGTATTGGAACCATTTCATGATTCAAACTATTCCATTGCTTATAAATTCTTCAATTTTTCTACACCCAGTTTCAATGATGTCTTCACATTAAACATGCCCTGTTGTCCACTAAAGAGGACATGCTGTGAAAATAAAAATAAATTTGAAAAAATCTAAATTGTAAGATGACTTATTTCCCCCAAAGACATAGAAAATCACAAATAACCTAAAATTGAAGGACACTTTTTTTTTCCTTGGGTCTCAGGAGGATACATAGAAAATTTCTTATGTATTCATTTCGTGAAGACAACACGTTACTTAGCGCTATTTATAAATAAAGAGTTATTAAACGCACTTATTAAAATAACTTTTTTTTTTTTTTTTTTAAATAATTCGAGAAGACAAAAGACTTCGTAGCGTATAATTAGCACGGAGATGTCAGTGTGTAGTTGCAGAGTTTTTTTTCTCTTCTTTCTGAAAGTGATGTGGAAACCGCAGACGGGAGGAGATGCAGCCCGGCATTTCCAGGGAGCGCCTACCTGCCGCTGGGTGCGTGACACTGGCAGCCCTGCACTGACAACCCCAGCCCCAGCCCCAGCCCCGCACTGATAGCCCCAGCCCCGCACTGACAGCCCCCCGCAGCCGCAACTCGCCGCGGCTCCTCCCTCTCTGCGCTTTGTGACCGTAACAGCCGCACTTTGCAGCCCCGCTTCTTACCGTCATTACCAGCGCAATCTTAAACCTACTGGCCAGCACGCCATGTCCTAAATCTCCAACACCTGCTTCCCCCCCCCGCCCCCGTTAACGCTAAGAAAGCTTGTAGAAGCGCAGCCTCCCGGATTAGTGTTTCGATTCCAAGCGGCACTTTTGGACGCAGGGTTATACACTTAAAACTTCTTCTTTCACAGGTGACCATGGCCGCACCGGCTGCTCTGATTCCCCCGACTCCCTTGGTTCTTACTCCTCCGATCTCAACTTCTCCGGCGACGACCACCTTGCCGTCGCCATCTCCTACCGTCGCTCCTCCCGGACACCAGTTTCGATCGGAGCTTACTACCATCGCCGGCAGCTCCCAAGCCGGCAAACCGGTGTATGCGACTCCATCTCCCGTTGAAAATACTCCACAGAACAACGAGTGCAAAATGGTAGAGATGAGAGGAGCAAAGGTTGCATCTTTCACGGTGGAGGGCTGCGAGCTCATCTGTCTTCCGCAGGCTTTCGACCTGTTTCTCAAGCACCTGGTCGGCGGGTTGCACACCGTCTACACCAAGCTGAAGAGGCTGGAGATCACGCCGGTGGTGTGCAACGTGGAGCAGGTGCGCGTCCTGCGCGGACTCGGCGCCATTCAGCCCGGAGTCAATCGCTGCAAACTCATATCTAGGAAAGACTTCGAGATCCTGTATAACGACTGCACCAATGCCAGGTGAGACTTTTTTCCGAAGTAGTTTTATATAATCGAGCTTTTCCACACCTGCCCTAAAGTTAACTCTTTTTAATAGTTGTATGTGTCTATGAATGACAGTTTACCGCTGGGAAGATATTAGAACATAACTGGAAATCAAAGAGTAAAAATGAAGCAATGTTTAGGTCGTCTGATTAGTTGCATTATTGCAGATTATTCGGAATACTCGTGTTTTTGGGTTAGTCCACCTGTAGATTTAGGTAACGTCAGACGGCAAATTGCATGCAGCGGGTTAAACGGTTTTTGTGTTGGGAAGGAGTCGGAAACGGAGAAGTGGATGTTGGCATTATGAAATTGGCTAATGACGCCTGCAATGATGACAGTAAATGTATAAAGTAACGTAATAGCGAGACATCATCTATGCTTTTATTTTATCAGCCCCCCCCCCCAATGATATATATACACTGGATTTAAATGAACTGAAAATTCTCAGTTTATTATGTGGTGAAGTACATCTTTTACCTTGCAGTGAACCACCATCACGTGGGATATTTACAGCGCTGTCTGTCTGTTTCAAGGCTGCGTTTAGTAAGAACCACATCGGCTGCAAGGGCCAGAAATACGTTACGTGGCTGAAATTGTCATTCAACTCCGTAGTGCTATACTAATCAATGTTATTGACTATGCTTTTTCGCGCACGGTTGGAAGCAAGCATCCACATTGCTCAAACGGGTTAACAGGTCAGCAGCCACGCGTACGTGGACACTGGATGTATTGTAGTAAAAGCGATCCCAAAGCCACGTAGTCTTGAGATGTGGCAAAGTACAGAATAATATTTTTACTTAAGCTGACAAAGATGATAGCAGCTTTATCCTTTCATTAAACTGTGTTTCCTCACGTGCTAGTCTGGGCACATACTGTACCATCGGCCTAACCCTTGTGGAATTTACAGAATAATTGATGTTTGTTAATGTCCTTTCCTTAACTGATTAGAAGCTCTAAACAGTCACAAACTGATTAATATTTTGATTTAGTGTGGTTTTAAAATGATAAAAATGTGTATTGTGGGTCATTTAGAACAGTCTAAATATAGGTCCAGATTATAGTTATGAGTAAGCACACAATAATTTTCAGTATCACTAAAGCTGGTACCATGGAAAATGTTAACAGACGGTATTTATCTTGGCAATTGGAAGATAGTTATATATAGACATTTCATGAAATGAAGAAGGAGTTTATATAAGTAATGCCACAACTCGTTTGTTAACCAAAAAGTCATACTTGGTTTTCATTAGCCAACCATGCTAAATATGCTTATGCTTACACCTCTCATCTTATGGATTTTTTTCCAGTTTCTCCAGTTATATCCATTTTCAATAAATACTGATCCGTTTGTGGGAGCTGAGGGTCTGTACTGTACCTCTTAGGCCTGTAGCTGGGGTTTGTGCTGGAAGGGACGTCACTCCATCCGAAGACAAACCCTATGCAGACACATGTCACCGCCAATTATCCATACATGGGCTATGAATGTATAAAGGAACCACAGAATGTCTGTGGTGGCACTTCAGTTCTGAATAAGCCGAATATCAATTTTCCTGTATGGTTTGATGCACTTAAACTTTTGATAGTTTTGATTGTGTCACAGTTTGCAAGCTTTGTTTTTGATTGATTAGATTAGATTAGATTAAACTTTATTGTCATTGTTCAGGTACAACAAAATGCAGTTTAGCTTTCTAACCAGAAAGTGCAAATAATAGAATAAGGTGCAAATAGCACATTGAAGTGCAATTGTCAGCTAGTTGCAATGAAGTATAGCATACGAATGATACTGAAATTGATTAGACGCTTTACAAAAGTTAAGAAGATATAATTGAAGTGGTAACTAAATTTAGGTTTTGCTTCAGTCGGTGTAGTACATGCAGTGTAGCTTTTTAGTACAAAATCAAAAGGATTGTTTTTATGTCTGACTTGTACTGCTGTCAGGACAGGTCCCTGTGTTTGATGGGCTTTATTGTTACTGATCTGCACCTTCAGAAAGGGACTGAAAAGCGACACTGAGTCTGCTGGCTGTGGGGTTTTTACATTCACATAAAGGCTCGGCGTGAGTGAGAGGTTTGTGAATCATAATGGCCGGTAATGGGAGATAAAGGGTAACTCATTGTTACTCTCGGGCTTCCGGACGGCGTGAGTGTCCGTTTCGGGGGGGGGGGGGGTCACGGGGCCTCTGCCTCGCAATGACCCCGGTTCCTTTCTGAGATTAGTGTCCGTTAAAGTATGAATTCATCCACTATGTGTATGAGACCCACAGCATGGCTGCTTGTCAAAATTTAATTCTGAAAATTGCTGGGTGATGGAAGACAGAAAAAGACAAACTTTAGTTTGACATCAGTGACTCTGTTCATGTTTTTCTTGTCTGTCATAACTGCACAGTATCTTTGCTTGTTGCTGTGACGTTGCTACTTCAATATGCCCTAAAGTAGTTGTGCCCCCCCCCCACCCCACCCTAATCACAGCCTTATATGGTCCTTAATAGGCTAATAATGAATGTGGCAGGTTGAAAGCATGGTGGGTTGGAATGAAAACATTCTCTCGGGGGGGCAGGAACAGGATTGACTATCTACTGCCCTAAAGTGTTTTTCTTACTGAGGGCCGTGTCTCCTCCCCCCAGGGTCTCTGTCAGCTCCTCCCTCCCAGGGTCTCTGTCAGCTCCTCCCCCCAGGATTTCTGTCAGCTCCTCCCCCCAGGGTCTCTGTCAGCTCCTCCCTCCCAGGGTCTCTGTCAGCTCCTCCCTCCCAGGGTCTCTGTCAGCTCCTC